GCAAAGCAGTCGATAGAAACTTTAATTTAGTGACACTGACTGATAAGGTTTAAAAAAATTTTTGAGACTTTTGTATTATAAGGAAGAGGAGACCTATAATCAGTGATAGAAAAACCATGTTGGAAATGACTATAATCCAGCTTCTCTGAAGTGGTTCCACTTATAATAATACTCATATAGACATTCAAGGCACTGGCAATAATAGGTGATTTAATGATGTTCGAAGCCCTTGAGTAAATTCATATAGGCTAAGAAATTTCCCCCAAGGACATGAATTTAATAATTATGATCATTTCTTGTGCTGATAACCTTTGAGTTAGAATTTCTGCTGGCTGCCAGAGACAAAGTTTTAGAAACTCAAATTGTGAAAATTAAGTGTCAGGAGTTTGGCTAATTCAACATGTATGTATGAGTTATAGTCCATTTGTGTACAAGAACTGGCTTCCAAGTAGGTGAAGGGCTGTTGTCTCAGCTCAGAGAGCTTTGTCTCCCAAATCGGATGAACCTAATGGCATATGGCAGAGCCTAGTTGAATACAAAAAAAAAATTTTTTTTTTCAGAAGTTTTACCTTTTTGTTTTTACTGTTGAGGTGGGATTGTTTTTTTCTTTGTAAAAAAATTGAGAAGATTTTCAAGCTTGTAATGAAAGCTCGGTACTTTTTTTTTTTTAATTTTTTTATTCTTATGTTAATCCCCATACATTACATCATTAGTTTTAGATGTAGTGTTCCACGATTCATTGTTTGTGCATAACACCCAGTGCTCCATGCAGAATGTGCCCTCCTCAATACCCACCACCAGGCTAACCCATCCTCCCACCCCCCTCCCCTCTAGAACCCTGTTTGTTTTTCAGAGTCCATCGTCTCTCATGGTTTGTCTCCCCCTCCAATTTCCCTCCGTTCATTCTTCCCCTCCTGCTACCTTCTTCTTCTTCTTTTTTTTTTTCTTTACATATATTGCATTATTTGTTTCAGAGGTACAGATCTGAGATTCAACAGTCTTGCACAATTCACAGCGCTTACCAGAGCACATACCCTCCCCAGTGTCTATCACCCAGTCACCCCATCCCTCCCACCCCACCCTCCACTCCAGCAACCCTCAGTTTGTTTCCTGTGATTAAGAATTCCTCATATCAGTGAGGTCATATGATACATGTCTTTCTCTATTTGACTTATTTCACTCAACATAATACCCTCCAGTTCCATCCACGTCGTTGCAAATGGCAAGATCTCATTCCTTTTGATGGCTGCATAATATTCCATTGTATATATATACCACCTCTTCTTTATCCATTCATCTGTCGATGGACATCTTGGCTCTTTCCACAGTTTGGCTATTGTGGACATTGCTGCTATAAACATCAGGGTGCACGTACCCTTTCGGATCCCTACATTTGTATCTTTGGGGGAAATACCCAGTAGTGCAGTTGCTGGATCGTATGGTAGCTCTATTTTCAACTTTTTGAGGAACCTCCCTACTGTTTTCCAGAGTGGCTGCACCAAAGCTCGGTACTTTTTTATTGGCTCGTGGAGAAGGGTTCACCAGAATTGTGAGGGTTTGGAAGTTTGCTGGAATCCACTTGTAGTAGGAGAGATCGAAGTGTCATTGAATTGTAGATGTGCTATCCGTCTAGGCGGCGGTCCGAGAAGCCAGCACTCTGGGAAGGGGAAGGGTGGGGTTCCGGGCTTCGGGAAGGGGCAGCCTTGCGGGGCCGGGGCCGCCGTGGACAGTGGTGCCGCGTGCTCACTCTCCAGCAACCCTCCCGTTCCTGATCCCTGCCGTCCGGTGGGCAGTTCATCGTTATCTTCATCTTGCAGGGGAGGAAATGGTGGAGACAGGGCTCATATGCAGACAGCTCTGCCTCCTGAGCCCTTCTGCTTTTTGTCACATCCTCTTGTGTCTGTTCTCTATAATCCCTAAGACCCCTTGCTTCACTCCTGAAGCTAGTCACTGCGTTGTGGGGCAACGTTTGTAGCATTGGGCATCTCTCCTGGCCCAAAAGGCCATTCTCCCGTTCTCTTTTTGAACTTAGTTTGCCTCCTTGTGACTAACATTTTACCAGCTCCATGGGAGAGAGATTAAGGACAGATTTAAAAGAGTAAGGGGAAAAAAAGGGAGCATTGAGGACGGAAGGTAGGCTGCCACGGAAGCTGGAGAGAAGGCTGTGTGTCTGGGGCAGACAGGAAATAAGCACAGGAGGCTGTTCCATTTTCTCCTCTGAAATCTGAGTTTGCGTTCTCTGATGGTGTGCGTGTGGCTGTTCAAAGACGGGGGTGTTCTATTATCCAGTCAGCAGGGGGAGCAGTGAGCTCAAAGTGACATCCCGTGGGGAGAGAATGGCCATCTACTCAGCCACGGTGGTTTATGAGTAGGTGTTCTTATTCTGCCTGGCATTAATAGATTCCATTAAAAAAATTGTTTCTGCTTTTTCCCCCCATGCTGTTGACGGTTAATTAAGTCATTGGGCACCAAGAGCACTGCTGCACTAGAAAAAATTCACTTCAGCGGCATTTTGTGTTTGTGAGTTTCTTTAAATATGTAATGAATTGCAATTTTAAGGATACCTTTCTAGAATCCATGAGGATTGTTAATTCTGGCCAAAATTATTCTTATAGCTTGGGCTCAGAATAATAGCTCTGTTTGGGAAGAGTCAGATGAGGAGGAGACACTTGGTTCTGGGATGATTTGAAGGTCCCTGAAGAACATGTTCCAATTATTATCCTTACAGGAATTGCAATCTCTTTTAAGTTAAACTTCTTTTAAAAAATTAACATATGCATGTTTTACCTAAAAAGAATAACTCATTAATCAGTCTCCATTACTGAATTTGTTTGTTTCTTATTTGTTTGTGGACAGGTGCACTTTGATATCGGAAAGTCCAACTCTGGGTCCTAAAGCATCTGCCAAGCCTTGTTAAAACACAGGCGAGAGGGCCCAGGGCAGGAAAGTGGAAGAATGAAAGAGATAAACCTCAAGTTTAATGTGGGTCAGTGCTGGTTGGTTCTCTCAGGCCTTAGGACAGGAGAAGCAGCATGTTCCAAGTGTGAGACCCAAGATGAGACATGAAAGTCATAGTTCAGGAAAGCCCAGGGTTTATTAAATAAGGAATACTGCCTTTGTGCATAGGTCATAACATGGTTTGGGGGCATGAGCCCTCCTTTTGAAGTATCTGAAGAAAGTTGTGGATCCTCCCCCCGAGAAAAATGCACATACGCACAAAATTTAGCACTCTATTTCAGGACTTCACTGATGTTCGGCCCTCCCCTGAAGCCCATCGTGAATCCTTGTTTAGGGCACTAGTCTCTCCAATAGAGGGTGGGAATGTGCGTGCATCCCAGGGGTGTGCAACACCATCCACTGGAGTATGTAATTTTCTATTTGTATTTATTTTCTCTCTTTTAAAGGCTTTTCTTTTCCATGTAGGTTTTACATTGCACATCATACATTAGTACCGTAGTACATAGTATGCGCATAACATTTATATATAAGTAGATTAACAAAATTCATTATAAGGGCTCACATTTTTTACTGACGGGCAGGCATGACTCAAAATGGATCAATTACTAACTTAAAGAGAGGTGCTAATTGAATTTAAAATCTAGGCTCTGCTCTCCCTACATTGGAGGGCCAGGGAGAGATTAACTCAAGAGGGGACAACAGGTGACTGGAAATTTTGGACCTAATGATGGCACTTAACGTTTGCCCTCACTTCATGAGGCGCATTCGCGTCTGCCCCATTCGGTCCTCCCGGCAGTTCCGTGGACTAGGGAGAGCAGGTATGTTAACCAAATTCTTAGAGAACTTAAGAGACTTTCCCAAGTGCCCTTGGCCAATCGGTGGCGGAGCTGGTGCACATAACCTCAGCGGCTGACCACAAATTATGTGCTTATTTCACCCAGCAGCAGGGATAAGTCGATCATTATGGGCTGTCGGTGGCCCTAGTGCTGCAGTTACTGGTGTCCCTTGCGGACACTGAGTTGCTGAATCCCTGGCTGACCCAGGCACAGGGATAGAAAGCATATTTTAGCTGCTTGATCAGAGGGCCAGGAAGCCGAGCTAACAATTCAGCATTAGCTCTCTCCTGTTGGTACTGTAATACCAACATATTTCAAAACAGATAGAGGGCTCTGGAAGGGTTTAGATACATCTATGTACGAAAAAGATTTACAGCGGGTTATTAAATGGGAGTTTTGAGGCTGGTTTCTCAGGACGTGCCAACCGCTCTTTCTCCCAAATTTCCCTTGGTGCCACTGTCAAAGGCAAAGTACTCATCTAGATGGATTGTTGTTCTGACCCAAAACGACATTTCCAACTTCTCTTATATATAATCCAATTTCTGAACTTCTTTTTCAGTGATATTAAGTGGAATAGCAGAAAACAGTATTTTGGCATTAAAGATAATAAATGTGTTCTGCATTGGTCAGGTGTCCTTGCTCTTCGCCAGTGCATTAGCTGTATTGATTTTAGAATTTTAAATGACCCTTTTTACCAGACTTGATTAATGTCTCGTCCCCCAATCTTGGCTACCTGCTCCTTCCTTTTCTCATATGCAATCTTCTTCCCTCTCAGACTGGCATGGGTTAGAGGCGGCTGACCTTCATAGGACCAAGGGTCAGGAAATACTGTGAGGAGGGTCCTTCGGGCCCAATGATTAGCCTCTAAAGGGCGGGGGAGGGGGGGCCTGGTCATGCAAGGGTCAAGCCTTCAGTACTCGGCTCAGGCCCCAGGAACACCCACAGCGGACCTCCTGGCTTGGTAAGTACCAGACAGTTCTAGTATGTGGCTTCCAGAGAAGAAACCTCTGGCCAGATAGAGGCTTTGAAAGTGGAATGAGATCTCTGGCAAAAGCTGGCCAACTAAACCCGAATGTCACTGTTGCTGTGTGAAGCTAAGATTAATTTTCTGCGATTCCCTCTCATTAATTAATAGTGTCCTTCACTATCCTCAGAGGACACTTTGTTTAATACTGTGTTCACACATTGTTTTATTCTCTCTCGCAGCCGAAATGTGGAACCCCCTGAGGATGCTGCCGCCTGGTATGTATGGCTTTGTGCACCACTCCCTGGGGCCCCCCAGTGTGGCCGGGTCACAGTGAGTGATGACTCTGAGGCTGGGCTTTTCCTTCTCTTTCAGAAGAGAAGTGGGTGGGAGGTGGACCGCTCTTGCCCTGGAGATGGCCACTCCTCACCCAGGATTGTTTTCACTTGCTTACTGCTTATTTCTTTTCATAATATTTTAAGGGTAAATTTGTTGTAAATGATAAAGGTGATATAACTACATTACAGCAAATTTGGAAAATTTAGACATAAAAGTCACTCCTATCATTACTCCATGAATGCACCTACTCTCAGCATTTTGATCCGTATGTTTGATAGATTTCTAATGACAGTGTACTTGAATGTGATATTTTAAAGATTATAACATTCCATTCTAAGCTTTTTTTTTTGTTTAATCATCCTCATAAATGTTATTGGGATATCAAAATAATATTTTTCACTCTTCCTGTTGTTGTCTATTAGATATTACCATTATTCATTCCTCATTAGTATTGATTGGATATACCATCATTTATTTCCTCATTGTTGTTTATCAGATATACCACTGTTTTTTGAACTATTTTCCTGTAATCCCACACTCCTGATTAAATGATTATTAATGCCTATTGGCTTAAGAAATCTGCCTATTTGGATTCAGTTTTGACAAAGAGCATTGTTAACATCTAGCATAGTATTTGGCTCTCAGCTGGTACTCAGGAAATGATTTCTTCCTTCTTCATTTTTGCCTTCTTTAAGCCACTTTCTTGGACTGTGGACCTGAGGGCATAACATATTGAAGAAACCCAGCGATTTCTAACTGGCTATCATGTAAGTTTGCACTGGCCATTTCAGTTAATTTGTCGGGAGCACTCGTATTCTGATTACAGGGGTTTCGTTTTCTTTGTGTCATTTGGTAGGTATATTGCTTCATTCTTGCCAGATACAAAATGTGAGAACTTCGAGGGGCTGTGGAAATCACCGTATCCAGTGGTTTCCCAGTGGATGCACAACACAATTTTGCAAGGTGCTTAAGAATACTGATTCCTTACTAAATCTTAATTTGGTGGTTGAGGACTGGCAATCTGCATTTTAAAAAGCATCCCTGTGTTCTGATGCAGGTGGTGGATGGACAGTAATTTGAAGTTACTGTTTGGTTAATAGACCTTGCTGACTTTTTAGAGCTGATGTTAGATTTTCATCATGTTCAGTTTTTTGCTTTTAAAACTAATTGAATCTTGAGATGACTTATTTCAGGAGGCAAATATTACAATCACAATTATGTACTGCAACAGGAAATAAGCTCTAAATGAATTTTAACATTTTACTTGACACATTACTATGTTTAAGTGTATTAAAGATGTCATTGAAAGGTGCAGGGGAGGAAGATGAACTTGATTTGGCAGGGAGGTGTTCATGGTACTATTACCCACAACTGTCTGTGCTGATTGACAGCACACACATTACCTCCTAACAGGCATTGTACTCAGTTGCATCAGATTTAAGTGTGTGGCATTTTTACTGAATATTTGAAACTGTTTTAGTTAATAGTATTAATTGTACATAGACCAACTTTCAGCCACTGTTTCAAAGTGCTTAATAGATAATAAACCAGAAGGTTCTGTGGTCTCCGCTTAGAGTAAACTTAGGTCTACAATACCATTTGTTTAAGCCTTATGTATTTTGAGTAGGGCAAATGTTTTATAGTTCAGAGAAGGAATCTACCCCCCGCCCCCCCGGCCAACCATAGTATAGATAGGGAAATTAAACACAGAAAGGTGAGTGCTCAAGGTCACTCAGCCACAAGGAGCAGTCAGAATTGGAGCTCAGATCTCCTGGGTCCTTGTTCTTTGCTCTTTCTACTAGACCAAATTGCCTTTTTTGCATAGTTTCTATCTAATGAGAAACGCTCAGTCTAATGGCTGGTAGAGATGCTATGATCCATATATTTATATTGCGAAGAGCATCGAAGCAAGGAATTCTACTCGATATTTTCTTTTGGAAAACCAAACATGCTTTATTTCATTTTTTTCACAATTTATTTAAACATCTCACATATACAAAATAGGTACAATTTAATTTTTCTGCTTGTCCAAGAAACAAGGCTTCTTTTTGGTACCACGGGAGAGGATGAAAATGAGACTGGCAAAGAAATGCTGAATTTAAAGAAGAAGACAAGGTTGGGCAAGTGATCTGCATACTTTTATTTGGGAGTCAGATGTGAAATGCTGATGCTAAATCAAATGAAAAAAGAATACACAATACAACTCATTACAGAGGATCATTTCTTCTCAAACTCTTCTAGCACCATCAAGGGTCTTCAAGTATCTGAAATACTATTAGCACCTTTGTATTCTGAACAAAACAAAACAAGTACCTCAGCTCATCTCTGTCTAGGTCAGCACCTAATGATGTGGATCACACTCACAGGAAAGTGTTTTGAGGTAGTTTTAAACCTTTGGAAGTTTGGGTTTTAAACTTCCCTCTGCGGAAGATATTCAAAAGCCACAAGTGGTGCAAATGTTCATGGTTTTTATTTTTCAATTTTTATTTTGGTTTTCTTACAAAGGTTGACATTTTCCACAATAGGTGTAAGAGTGTTGAAAAAAAAAATCCAAAATTTTTTGGGGGGGGATGGGGGGGAGGGAATGAATGAAATCGTATTGCACTGTGCTCTGATCAATCCTTCTTCTCTTTTGCCCACAATTTAAGCAAGTAGATGTGCAGAGGAAATGGAAGGACTCAGCTCTCAGTTAAAAAAGAAGAAAAAGAAATGGCAAAGAGAGAAAGTTTTTTCAGATTTTTCTTTTTTTAATTTAGGTTGAGTTCATTCATTTGAAACAGACTGGGCCAACGTCCACCCTGAATTCTTGGTCAGCATCACCGATGTCCAAAGGTGCAATATCAAGGATAGGCAGGCGGGATGCCTTATTTGTTTTGTATTCAATGATTGTCTTTCTCCATTCATTCGTCTTTTTCTGTTTAAAAAAGAAAAAAAAAATTATATATATATATTCATAAAGCAGCACTATTTCTAAATCTAACATTATCATCAGAACCTTCGGTAGTTAAGAACTACTTTTGGGCCTGTTCATTCTGAGGTGTGTCCCAGATCAACATGTTGATCTTTGAAAGAGAAGCATTAGGGGGTGTTTTTAGGGAGAGAGATTTCCTACCAGTCTGTCTAATTTTTTAAAAGAAAATTTCAATACATATTCCAAGTGGTTTATTGCTACAATATCATTTTTGGGATATGTGTGTGTCAGTAGGGAGAGCTGGGTGGGTATGCTGTAAATTTTAATTTTTCTTCAATGTATAGCATATTGTAGAGAAAAATTACATGCAGACCATACTAATAAGTCAAATAAGGTACATATAGCTATAAATTATACCTTGGGACCTTTTAATCTCAAGTACTTTTAAGTTATGGGCAGACATCATCATTTAACAAACTCATGTTTAAAGAAAAACAGCTAATGCACAGACATGGTATGTATTTCAGCACTTCAGAGAATTTCCGAAGGCAAGATCTGATAAGAATCCTCAAGATTTGCCATCTGAATTTAAGGTAGGTAGGTCTCTCCTTCACCTGTTCATTCAATGGGTCTGAGCTAGAACTCCAACCCACTTTCCCCAAATTTCCCTATTACTTACAGAGCAGCCGTCTACAAGAACAGTGTAGGTGAACCTGCTGTTGCCCTCGGCAACCAGTTCAACATCATTGGAGCCTTGCAGAATGACAGCCTTCTTCAGGTTGCCAGTCTCCTCATCCAGGTAGGCAATGCTGTTCTTGCAGTGGTAGGTGATGTTTTGAGAGGCATGGTTGGCCAGCAGGCGCATGAAGGCGAGTTGAGTGGCCATTTCCTTGGTGGTCACTCCTTCAGCATTATATTCAAACTACAGAGAATAAGGTAGAACCGCTAGTTAAGTGGAGAGGGACTGAAATACTAAGTCAAAAAAGAGGGGGGCGGGGAAAGGCTGACTTAGGGAGGAATGATGGACTCAGATCTGAACCTTGGGGAAAAAGGTACTTTTACAGGAAACTCAATTCACTTGTCTGTGCAATATTAGTTACCTAGAAGGCACCTAGGAACTACCAGGCTGAGGCAAGATCATCTCATCTCAAAAAGGTACCTGTTTTAGATAAGCCTTTTAGAATAAGAGAGCAAGGAGACAGGGTCACACCTCTTTCTTTTTCTGTGATTCCCACCAGTAGGCATTCAATAAAGTTGAAGAGATTTGATTAAAAATTCAGAAAAGCACATGTCCTGAGAATACATATGCATGGGCACAGGGCTAGGTGCTGGCCAGCATGTCCTCATGCTAAAGGGCATTAGTTTCTCCAGTGATTATCAGTTAAGTCAGATTTGAATAATAACTTTAGATGGTATGGATATGTCCAATCACTCCAGCTTTAATATGCAGTCCAGGATAGAACGGAAACCCGAGAAAAGAGGTTCTTTTTAATAATCCCATTTTGGTAAAGGATTAAAATGCAGATCATTGAAAAGCAAACTATCTTAATATTGTTTAGTAGGAGAAGGGATGTTTGTAGGATTCCTCACCTGGGTACCACCATTGATAGTTTCTCCTAACCAGATGTGCTTCTTGACCTTGGAATTTCTGTACCAGTTCTTGGCTGGGATGTTTTCAGGTTGAGCCCGGATGCAGGTTTCGCCAGTAGAGAAATCACAGTATACTTTTATAGCATCCATAGTGCATCCTTGGTTAGGGTCAATCCAGTAGTAACCTTTAAAAAAAGAAACAAGACCCAGCTCATAAAACCTCTCCTTGAGTGGAGCATAGGTTCTAATAATTACTAGACAAAGATTTTTGATTCCCATAAGTAACATTGTCTACCCCACATTTAATAGGAAGAGGATGGCTATTTTTAAGATGAGACAGTTCCTCCTCTCTTGTCCTCCATGAAAAAAATCAAATCAGAGAATATATATTTTTGCCTTTTTCGTGGTAATATATAGAGAGGCCTGAGACTGGGTGCTGGCTGGGAGAAGAAAATGCTTTATTAGTTAGGTATGATTCCACATAATGCAATTTTTACCCCAAACTTTTTCATTCTAAATGTCCATGGGAATGGACTTTACAAAGCCCAGCTCATGAGAAGGGCCGGTCCGGCTTTGACATCCTGACTTACCGCTGCTCCACTCTGGGTGGCTGAGTCTCAAGTCACGGCATGTGCGAGCTGGGTTCTTCCTAGAGCCTTCAGGAGTAAGAAGGGTCTCGATCTGGTTGTTGAGGGATTTCAGAGTAGCATCAACTTCATAATCCTTGGGTCTGAGAGAAGGTGGTGAGCGAGGCTGGTCAGCCCTGTAGAAGTCCCCTTCATAACCAAAGTCATAGCCACCACCACTCGGGCCGGGAGGGCCAGGAGGACCAGGCGGACCTTGAGGGCCCTGCAAAGGTGAGAGCGAGAAAGAGGTTTCATATTTGGTCACAGTGAGAGATGTCAATGACAGCAGATTTTCAGTTGAGTGTTACAGGCACGTTCTAATAAGTAAAAGAGAATAACTTGATCCCAGGCATGCTGGTGGGGATGGGTTGAAACAGCTCCTTCCATACCATCTTTATACGGTTTAGAGCTAACATATGGAAGTGGGGAGCTCCTTGAGTGTGTTGTCACAGCCATCTTGGGTTCGTCTGAGCAGAATGTTATTTCCCGGAACGATACTTACAGCAGGACCTTGGCTCCCCTGAGAGCCACGGACGCCAGCAGGGCCGACTGTACCGGGATGTCCAGTGCGACCGTCCTTGCCAGCAGGGCCGGAAGGACCAGCAGGGCCCTGGCGAAGAAGGACACCAAGTGTGAGGGAGTCCGTAAAAACCCCACAAGGAAGGAGGGGCCTGGGGCTCCCTCCCTGCCATAAGCTCTCATTTCAGAGACCGAGGTCTCTTGGGTTGACCTACCCTAGGACCGGCAGGCCCCACAGAACCAGGTGCACCTTGATCGCCATGTTGACCCTTGAAAGAGAGGACAGGAAAATCACACTTTCAGAACACGTGTCAACAAACAGATTTTTTTTTTTTTAATTGAATGGAAAACTTTAGTTTCAATGGACTCTGGATTGAGAAAATTGAAAATGTAAAATGGGGCTCTTTTCTCCCATTATGTCTATTATATTCAATTACATTTTTTTCTACAAGCTATTTCAGCAGTGTAATATTAGTCATTCCTCTAATTATATTTATTTTAAGTGGGGTTGAAGGACATTGTTGCCAGGAGATTTTAATATATGTATATTTCGATCTCCCTTAACCCTCACCTTTTTGTGTTGGGATGAAATAGCATTATCTCTGCGAGATGGAGTCAGCCAGAGAATAGGAAATGAATACGATGTAGTTCATTTTAGAACAAGAGCAGTGAAAATTTGAGGAAGATCATTTAAGATCTGTACACATTCAGAATGTCCACACTTTACTTACAGCGAGACCAGGAAGACCTTGCAGTCCATTGTGTCCCTTTAAGCCAGGAAGACCTCTGGGCCCCTTGTCACCAGGCTCTCCCTTATCACCTCGAACACCTTGTGGGCCCTGTAAAGAAAAAGGAGGACAGACAGGGCATTTTACCTTCCTTTGAAAACGACACTCACTTCCCCACCAGTATTGCTTTATCTGTTTACAGAGCTAACTCAAGACATGCAAAGGTTTAAACACCACGTGGGTGTTACACCCATCTACTCCCCTAATCTGCTTTCATTGAACCCTCCGTTAAGTGGCTAGATTTTGGTGATTATTTAATACAAACAGGCAGAAGAGATTTGAAATGGAAGAGCCTTAGAAGCTAGATGTAGCAATTCTCAGCATGGACTGAATTTTTTAAAAATACGAAGTCTAGCCTATATATTATTTATTTTATTCATGGACGGTCTGGACAGAGTTTCCTCAAATGTTCATTTGTGAAGAAATCTTCATCATGTACGTACACTAGGACCTCTTGGACCAGCAGCACCAACTGAACCCACAGAACCAGCAGGACCCTGCAAATTGGAGAAGCAAAACCGAACTTGTCAGCCAAGCCCAAGCCCCTCCCCCACCAAATCCCCCAGTTCCCAAGTGTGGGGAGGTCAGAGTGAAGCCTCGGAAGAGGACAGCACTAAGGGACTGGTATTTACGAACTTACGGGTTCACCACGGTTTCCGTGTTTGCCAGTGGGACCCACAGGGCCGTGAGGACCAGGCGCGCCCACAGCGCCAGCAGGACCAATGTTGCCAGGGTAACCGCGCTCTCCCTACCAAAGGCAAAGTGAAGTTTAGCATCCACCTGGCCTGGGTTTTAGTCACTTTTAAATTGGAGAAAGACAAAGAGGTGTGCTGACCTTGTGTCCGGGTTGACCATCGCGGCCTGGGGGGCCATCGTTCCCAGGGTTGCCCTGTGAAGATACCACACCAATTAAGGCGCTTCGTGAGGCTCTTTACCCCGCCAGCCCCTTTAGTTCAGCTCCTCTGTCTTCATCCCTCCCAGTACTCCACAGTGAACCCCCAGGCAGACCATCAAACAGGCCAGTTAGAACTTGCCAGCCTAGTTTTCTTAGAGGTGTTTTTAGTATTTTGGCCAAATCTGAAGTATACCATTTAAAGAGCCATCCTCCCACCCCCCAGCCCAAGTAATTTTTCACATTTTCAATAGCAGGAGTGGTCAAGGCCCATAGATGTTATGGGGAAACAGACCATCTTATTCAGAGACTTGGAACAGGAGGAACTCAGCTGAGGACATGAAGTCATGCACAATGGACTACAGTTTGCTTCTACAAACCACACGTCAGACTCACATCACGACCAGCTTCGCCAGGAGCGCCGTTCACTCCCGGTGCGCCCACAGCCCCAGGGGGCCCACGAGCCCCAGGTGGGCCAGCGATGCCGAGAGGTCCGTGTTCACCCTAGACGTGGAGAAGAGGAAACATTCCTCTCATTGGATCGAGTTCAAGTCTCACCCTCCCAACACAACCCCGGCTAGGGGATTGCAGTTTGAAAAGAGAAAGTGCAGTGGGGGGTGGGGGGGTGGGGGGGTGGGTAGGCACGGGCCACAGAACAGCCAGAAGCCCCATTCGTGTTATCCTCGCCCTCATCCTACACACTCGGATGGCCGGCTTTCTGTAATTTTGGAACGTCGCTCTGTACGAGGTAAGCCTAGCTGCATCTGCTGTCCCAAATGAAATGAATTCATAAAGTTGAGAGAGTTTATGGAGATGAGAGGATTCTTAGGTGCTGTCATGTATGAGATTTAACGGAATGATTCAGAACTTCCAGAGTTTCATTCTGCCTACAGGATAAATGATGCCAGCATTTCATATTGCAGAGGAGTAAATGCAATTAGAGCTTATATAGTTCTTAAGCATGTAAAAAGAACAAAAATCATTCTGCATAATGTTAAGCTGTATCTTTATAGCGTGTGTCTAAGTAAGGTGGTATTAAAGCTTCTTAGATAAGTGACATGTGATCTGTATAAAGAAAATGCCATGAATAAAAAATCTTAAGTGGAGTTATTCAGTGATCAATCTGTCACATCTGAAGTGGCAGCTTTTAAAATCTTTTATTATGTTAATGAGAAGAAGAATGGTGTCAAACACTTACCACAGATCCAGAAACACCTGGTAGACCACGTTCACCTCGAGAGCCTGGGAGACCCAGAATGCCAGGAGCGCCA